GCGTTTCATAAAGGGGACTGTCACTTTGCAACCTGCGGCGCGCCCACGTTTTATTGAATAGACAGTAAATGAAGTTTGATTTTTTTTTGCTAAAAATTCAATTAAATTGACTTTTTCGGATGGTTGTATGCATTTGGATTAATATTTGTGCCATTATAAATATTTTGGCACATTCGAAAAACAAATTTTTCGAAAAGTTGTCCTAGGCGGGCCGAGCGGGCCGGGTCGAAAGTTTTGAGGCAAGCGGGCCGGCCCGGCCATCCACATGTATGATTCCCAGAGACATGAATTATGTTTAATTCTGTGTTCTCACAGAAATCTGTCCCTATTTCAACAAAATTTGAATTTTCAGTGCAGTCCGAGATGAACGAAATCGAGCTCGAGAAGAAGCTGAAACACTTCGTCATAATTATGACCTACTTCTTGTGAGTACTCTCCCGTGTTGTTGATTTTGTTGTATGATGTTTAGGAGGAAAAACGAGCACTAGCCGAGCAACTGTACCACACTGACTCAGAATCAGATGAAGCAAAACCAGAAGTTCCCAAACCAGAAATCGATGGAACAAAAAGAAATGCAGTTGTTCAAACAGTTCATTCGATATCTTGTGATCCTCCATCAATTCTTGTCACAAGTTATTCTCAAGCACAAATAGAAGCAGTTCTTCGTGAGCCGAGTGTAGACGAACCTGTGGAAACTGTGAAATCAGACATCAACGAGCAATTGAAAGCGGAAAATGAGTTTTTGAAGGATCAAGCCGTGGAACTGCAAAAGTGTCGAGACAAAATCGAGACAGATACCAAGACAATTGAGGACCTTCGTATTCGAATTCATAGTATGGAGAGGGAGCTATTATCTGCTAAAAACTCAAAACGGGCCAGCAGCTCTTAATTAATATGAACAGAATAAAAATGATTGAAATGACATGAATAAACAGATTTATTATTTCAAAAGAAAAAAACACAACAAGAGCTAAAATTGAATTTGAATACTACAGCAGTCAAAGGGAACACGTAATCGAAGTTCTGTTCTAAGTGGTCAAGACATTTAAAAGGGACGGGTCAAGAAGCGGTTCTTCATCGGATTCTGTGATCAATAGAGATGGTTGCTAGAAAATTAATTATTCAGATTAGAAAAATAAACAGAAAACTTGCCGATTCTCCGCTCAACGAGATTTTGGTTGAATTGGAATCATCTTCTTCCGAAACAACTGAGAGATTCGGCGATGACGATGACTTTTTATTTTTTGGGTGATCTCTGGAAAACCAGCGTTACAGAGGAATAAGGGTTCTAGCACTCACTTTCCACCGCGGTAACGATCTCCTGCTCCATCCATTTCTGTATCGCGGACCGGAGAGTCCTTCTTCTCTTTCTCACGAACTTTTTCATCATTTTGCAACTGCGGGACCGGAATTTCCCCATTATTCACGATGGAATACATCCAGATGTGCTCCGCAAAACGATAGCATCCGAAATGGCTAACATCGTAGATCATTTGGAAGACCAAGAAACCATCGTTGCTGAAAGTTGCAAAATTTGGCAGCCTGCTAAACTGTATATCTACGAACCCAAGGTTATGAATCAGATAATCAAGCGGAGCTGTTCCGTTGAGATTCAGATCAGGATGCGGCCCTCCATACGTTTCGATGAAATAGTCTTCATGCTTAAATCTAACATTAGGAAAATTTTTCTTGAATTTCAAAACTCACTCTTATCATTGTCTGGATTGTGTACTTCCGATACCTTGGTATCAGAAGAATGGTGGTATAGTACACTGCTGAGATCACTGATATCAACGAAACGAATAAAAACCACCAGTATAGAAATAGAAAGGCTTTCGCATTCACATAATTAGCAGATAACACGCATCTCGCGAGCACACTGTTCACATTACTGCTTCCTTTCCTAAAGTCGATCGCCGGATCGATACCCATACTCTGAAAAATTTTAATTTTGGAAATTTTATGTTATGGGAACTTGAAAATTGGCTCTTATGTTTACAGACTGAGTAGAAAAATTACAGTCTTTGCATCGGGTCTGCAAACATGCCAGAAACAGTTTGATGATTCCGGTAATATCTACAGGATTTTTAAAATATATCCTTAGATTTTAGAGAAACTTTCAGAAACGATTTACGGGTACTTATGAGTAAACTCGTATACGAATAAAGCTCTATGGTATGATACTGTACCAATCTTGTAACACGGCATCCAGAGATCAATGTGAATTGGCCTTCAAGTGAATTTTTAAATCTTCCTTCTATAATGTGTCTCAAATCCTGCAAAAGTGATGATTAGACAGGCAGAAAACGAGAAAGCTACATCGAATCCCCAGGATAACTTGCCACCGCCGAAGAAACTTGCGATCATCCAAAATTGCAGAAGAAAAATAACAAATCTAAACCATTTCATCCCTACATAGACGCACATGGTCTGTGACGGCCCGTACCAAGCACCTCTGAATAGTAATTATTAATTCAAAAAAGGCAATGTTAATATCAAAACTCACTTTCGTAGTTTGATCCATTCTTGAAATTGAGCCGCTTGTTTCATAAAACGCCACTCTTCTGGATAAACCAACCGCCCTTCTTCTTTCGATTTTTCGTTATTTTTAGAAGAGTAGTATTCTATAAATGCAATGATATCCGATCCATTAAAACTATCCAGTCCAACGAATTTCCAGAAGAAAACTGGAAGAAGGGTGAGTATGCCATGGAGTATAGGGACGAGAGGCACCCACTATGATATATTAATTATGTCAGATTTAGATAGTTGAAAAATACCATATAAAAGTCTGAAGTTCCAGTCAATTTGTTGTGACTAATCGTTCCTTGAGATCCGATACTTCTCGTAGCGAAACTAACTTTGTCTCGCTTGGCATAATAACAAAAGTCTGCGAAATATTGAATCGAGGATTCAGGCCATTCTTTCGGAAGTTGGCATGATATAGGAGTCCCAAACAAGGGCTTCGAAGCTAGAAGGAAGAATAGGAAAATCAGAATAGAGATCGTCGTATTATGAAGAAGCTTTTCAGTGGCTCCTTGAAGTCCTGGAAGGCGGCGGAGAGGATTTGTGAATGAGATGACAGCATCTTTAGTCATTTTTTCTAGAAAGATTCGAAACGGTTCGGTTCAAATAAAAATTGAGAATGTGCAAGTTCCGATTTCACGATTGGCTCAAAGCCACGAACCGAAGTCTTGAGCCAAATCTGAAACTACGGATTAACAGTCGCACAAAAACGTAGAATCTTCGTACTTATATAATCAGGGCCCTCATCAAGCTCTTTCTAGAAATGTCTTCAGCTCCTCCAGCTATGTATGATTTTCATAGCAATTTTTTTTCCTTTGGATAGAATGGCAAAGCGAATTGCGAGAAGCGGAGTTGGAGGAGCCGAGGGCGTTCCTATGAAATACTGTTGAGACAGAAACCGTTACAAACACTTATTAGTCATACGCCAATTGAACATATTTATTTTGAATGACTAGTTAGCATATGTTGCAATAAAAAGCTATACTAAAAACAGGTAAAGAATGATGAGAACATAAAACATGAGAGCTGCTAAATATATGGCACGATTGTGGGTTAGTTTACGAAAATAATTAAATTTAGTTATTTACAGATTTATGCACTTTTCCTGGCGCCGCAGAATACCGGCCACGATGGGATGATGATGGGCTACGTGATGGCTGAAAAAAAAACATTAGCCACTGATCACACGAGTCTGAAAAACTGATGAATGGGATAGCAAAGGCTCCGAGAACGAGTTAGCATCGGTCATTAGCATTTGTTTATCTTTCGCTGAGTGTTCCCTAAAATTGGATGATTTCATTTTTACCTTGAACAAATCGGACTATCAAAAAACCTACTTTTTTTGAAAGTAATCACTTTGATCATCATCGTCTTCAGTTAGCAATCGGTTTTTCTTTTTTGCAAAAATTGGATCTTGTCGATCAGTTCCTCTCTGGGGCAACACTACTTCGTAAAGTGAGTTCAAGAAAAAACGGATTTTCACAACACTCAAGGGGACGCTGGCACACTGAAGAAGAAGGTATCCGTCGTTTCCCATGTAATCTACAAAGTGGTCAAGAGGATCGCTGTGTCCATGAACGATTGTGCGATTATTCCTTTCCGCATCCTCGACGAAAAACTCAAGTGTAGGAAGAAGAGATTTTGTAGCGTAGCGTTGGTATTTTGGTAGAATGAGCATGAGAGTGAATTGAACTGCTGAGAAAATACTGACAAACATAGCCAGTACGTACCACCAGTAGAGGAAGAGGAAAACTTTGGAATTAACAAAATTTTGTGGAAGAATGCATCTCATGGTAAACTCATTTACGACTCCTCCCGTTTGCTGAAAAACCAAAGATAAATCGCCCTCATGACCTTACTCTTACAGTTCGATGGGTCTTGCAGCCCACAATTTGCGGGAATACGCCGGTATAGAGATTTTTATAAACACCATTCAGTAGCTCATAGGAAATCTGTAAATATTAATTTTCAGATGCCGGTAAGTGTTTTAATCATACATGAACTCCCCACAGCAGCTCGCCGGATGCATAAATATTGGCCATCATATAGAATTGAAGAAGCAACGATGCGAAGGTCATCCATTTCATAGTAACATATACAAGCATTGTTGTATGCATTCCCCATTGTTCTCGTTTCTTGAGTTTCAGCCAACGTAAAGTGTCTCGAGCATCTACTTTGTAATCCGAGTCATTCGAGTCCATCTTATCGTCTTTTTTCTTCGAAGCTAACGACCGTATGATTGCAGCGAAATCATTCCCATAGAAGTAGTGAAGTCCAAAAAATTTCCACATCAAAGCCGGGGCGAGACACATTGCAACTTGCAGGAAGATAATGAACGGTGTCCACTGAAAATAACTTTTTTCTCAAGTAAAGAAGACCGTCAAACCTGATAATATGTTACAGCGACTTCTTCTCTAGTGATAAAGTTCAAGTGCATAGTACCCATATCCTGCTCTCGCTTCAGTGATCTGCCATTCTAAGACTAAAATTAATTGAAAACTGTTCACTAACGGTTGCATAGGAGAAATTCGAAGTTTATCTTGATAGAAGCAGAAATCATGAAAGTAATTCGTAGAAGAATCCGGTGTTTCTGGGAGAACAAGGCATGTGATGGGTTGTCCAAACATCATGTTGGAAGTGACCAAGAAACCGAAGCAGAGGAGAATTTGAATCGTTGTGGTGTGGACAATTCGCTCCGCTCCGTTATCCCACTCATGGAGCTGTAGAAATGGACGGATAAGCTTATCCACAGCCGAGAACCCCATCTGAAAATTGAAATTTCGTTATGTATTTTAGTTTCATTCGAGATTATTCAGTCGGAGAAGCAAATTTCGAAAACACGAGCCTAAAAAAACGGCAGAATACGGTCAGAAATAGGTTCAGAGCAACGCTTCTCAAAATTCAGGAGTTTGACGCGCAGGTTTCACTACAGTAGTCCCTCGCGTGAATTCAAATTTGTTTTCAATGTACCCAGCGTTGTGGAGACTGGCGACTCTGATGATGAAGCGACCAAAAATACGTCTTTCTCACATTATTTTGAATAAGTTTTTGTCGAATTTGACAAAAAACCGACACTTGAAAAGTTCGCGAGCGGCGTTTCTGTCGATTTACGAGGCTCCGCCCCGAAATCCAATATATACTATTTAATGGGGTTGTTCATGACATAAAAAATGTATTTTTTTTTGGAATTTTTAAACACAAAAAATTAATGCATGCATGCGAAAAAATGTATTTCATGTATTTTGTATTTAAAAAACAAATCATGCATAACCCCATAAAAGTAATAGTTTTATGAATTTTATGACATTTTCTGAACAAAATTTAGATTTCTTAATAAGAATACAACCGCTAGCGTCTCTAGAATCTGTTTTTTCACCGAAAAACCGAACTTAATTGTCTAAGTTACTCGAACGAGGCGAAAGTCCGAAATATTACAATTTTGCCGCGTTGCCTAGTAGATCAAAAAAAGCGACGACTTCCAAGTTCTCAGGTGTCAATTTTTTTATTCGAAAATACCCGTCGAAAACAGAAGTTACCCGACCCTTTTGGGAGGATCCCACCTGTTCATGGGATCCTCCCAAATTGCTTTTCATTATTTTATTGGTCATAAAATGTTTTTTTCTGTGTGTTGATGCACAAAAAGACTCAGAAATACATTTTTAATGTCATGAATAACCCTTTCCCTGAAATTTGTGCATTGTATACCCTTTTCATGACTTTTCTGGTTACTTAATTTTTTGTGTCGCAGGTTTTAATCCTAACTACATATACTTGATTTTTCCCAATCGCTTGTTTCTTTTTTCTGTTTTCCTATTATGCTTGTCTGAGAAAAAAAAAGGTTGAGACGCAGAGAAAAAGTGTCTGCGTCTCCACCGTTCGTGTGCTATTTAGGCTCTCCGCTTCGAAATCGCTACCGTATTCAGACTGCAAAAAAACTCTAACCTTTTTTTTCTCAGACAAGCATAATATTAATGGAATCCCCTCTTTGTGCATGTACCGATGGAGATGTTTGCGTACGCACACTCTTCTTGCGCGGCAATCGTCGTTTTTCAAAAGTTGCGTCGCCTTTCTAGCAATTTTACAGACAAAGTGACCTGATTATTTTTTTCATTCCAGAGTCTAAATGGAGAGCGAACTCTCAGGAATCTCGAACGAAAATCAAATCGCATGGTTTGGCTTCTCAGCTTATTCGTTCAGTGATTGCGGTTTGTGTTTTTCATATCCCTCGTCAGTTTTTTGAGCGAAATTTTCAGTTTTCAATGCATACGTCAACTCGTGGGAGGAAGTATGTCGTGATGAGTTCAAAGAATCTTTAAAAAATGTGGGTCTTTGTGCGTTCTTTGTTACTTTTCAATGAACTCCGTTTCAGCTGAACGAGAAAGGCCGTCTCGGTCTCCTTTCGTTCCCATTCGTCCACAAAACGAACGAAAAAGTGTTCAAGCTAATGAAGGTGTGTTTTTGAATGAAACTATTGTCGAATTAAAAATAAAACTGGCACCTGAAAATCTCACAGGCGGCGCTCGTGGAGATTTATGAAGTCCCGACCCATTATTGCCTCTAATCGTATACTGTATGAAGCGAAATTAATTTTTGTAAATTAGGTGAGGTTTTCTGAACAGAATTAAGAATTTTTGATAAAACTGATCACATCTCCAGTACCGAAAACTCGAATTTTATTACGAAAATTTCACGGGAAAGGCAAACATCTGAAATATTATGTTTTCTGCCGCATCGTAGAACAAGCGACGGTTCTCAAATTCTCAGGTGTCAGTTTTTCAAAAATTCGACAATGATCTTTCATTTACTTTTTCAGAGATACTGTGTTACTGAAATCTTCAAAATTCCCTCCGTCGTCACACTTCCAGAATGCGTAAGTAAAACTCAAACTCTGAGTCTCAAAGTGAGTTGATTTACCATTTTTATTCAGAGAAAAATGGCAATAGCTTCGGTAAAGGACATCAAAAATCAATCAAAAGCAGAGAAGGAATTTGCTGCAAAACTCGAAACAATCCGATTGGTGAGTGAAAAAATATCTATCTGGCAAATTAATTAATGAAACTCGTTCAACTCCTCGTTTCGTTTATTTTCTAGAAGACCAATTCTTAGAAATAATGATGTTCAAAAATGTCTAATTGTGATACAACTAATTTCTAGCTCCGCATCAAAATCACTCAACGAAAGATGGACATCGACTCGGTAAATGGAGTGATTGAAGTGCTGCATGTTATGGAAAAGAACCAAGAGAAGCTAGTAGATCAGAAAAAAGAAGTTCCGATGAGTCCAAATCGTCTGATGTCTCCCGTTTAATACACTTTCAACTACTATTCTGTACATGGTTCTATCTGTTACTCGACAACCTCTTTTCAATTGTTTTTTCAATGTATTTTTCATTTCATAAGAATAAGCTCAAAGCTTTTATTAAATTGTGTAGAGAACAGAGAAAGAGTTAATCTTAGTCAACACAAGCAGCAACATAGAATAGCCATACAGCATGCACCCGCACAGCAATCGCTGAAAAAAGGTGATATCAAGGGAACTCGTATACAAACAAACTCTGCACGAGATCCTCCTCCGTTTTGAACTACGACAGTTCCTCCTGGTTGTTGAACGCAGGGTTGAGCATAAGCAGGCTGACCGTAGACCGGAGCTCCGTATGGCGAAGCGTGTACAACAGTTGGAGTATGGCCCTGAGCGTACATCAGAAATAGAGTAGAAAACTAGAAATGCAGTTGCGCATGACCGTTTTATTGACGTCAAATCTTTTTAGAATTGACCGAAAAATACGAATTACATGATATATTTAGGACAGACAATAACTGTTTGACAATGAAGAAATGAATTGGAGGGGTGACGGCACGAGAAGAACGGAACGGCAATAGAAGGTTCCCAACTGGGAGATGGACCCGTTTTAACTGATAATAAATGATTTAGAATCGAATAACATCGAAAAGGAAGCACATTGAAATGGTTAGAGCTATCGAAAGTAGCAGAACAATCACTGCAGATATTCCGATCGTAATCTTTCTGCACACACTACTGCTTCTTTCCCCTTCTTTCGTCTCTTTGTTGTTTCCGAATTCAAGGCTTGTGATATCCAAATGCTCCGAGTCCAAATGCTTGATTTTGTGTTCCATATTGTGAAAGTGATCGCATGCACATCCGAAACAGAATGTCTGCTCTCCACTTTCCCGACGCTCATCCCAATCCACATAGTTTTGAGCCAGACATGTTGGACAGTAATAGAGTCTGAAAATAGGATTCTAGCTTTGGTTCTGAATAATCTTTCACCTGGACTCGTGACAGTTGCATTCTGGATTGGTTTGTTTTTGTTTAAAAACTGCCAACAACTCTATATTCGTTGGAATTGTCTTTCTCTCATTTACAGGAACACGACACATTGGACATGACTCATCACTGTCCAACCAGCTCTCAAGACACGAATAGCAGAATGTGTGTCCACATGCTTCTAGAACTTTTGGCAAATGTTCGACGTCATCTGAAATTACAGTGAAGTAGATTAGATACGGAATAAAATTATTGCTCACCAAAATCATAGAAACAAATAGAGCACTCAAGACGAGATACCATTAGCCTGGTCGAATACACAAATGAATGAAAAGAGGGGCGAAAGAAGAGTAAAGAGGTGGTACACTGAACACAGCTGCAAAGAGGGGCATCTGCGAAACAAGACCTCCCCTATCGATCGTCCCTACCAAGAGAGAGGGTCACAATACCATGCGGGGGTCCAATTCGCAGCTGGTGCTCGTTTAGAACTATACATAAATTTCTTACGATCATATTCTCAGAGAACAAAATCAGATTATTGGATAATCGTACGAAAAAATCGGAGCTGCGGAAGAGGAGAAGTGGGCGTGGCCAATGATCCTCGTAACGAAATCTTAGTAAACGAGTGAAAGAATCCAAAATTTTAGCCCATGGGCTTCTATTAGAGGAGAATGCGGTAATTCAAAATTCTAGAATTTTTGAAACCGTGATTTTAGAACTTGAAAATTTCTCAATTTCTGAATTTTCTAATTTCCAAGTTTCGAATTTTCAGAGTTTTAGAATTTTTTCCCCGAGTTTTAGAATTCCTGAATTTTGAATTTTGAAATCCTGGAATATCAGAATTACATAAATTCGGAATTTCGGAATTTAGAATTGCAGAATGAGAATTTCGAATTTTCCAAAACACTGAATTTCAGAATTCTTAACTCTCGAATCGTCCATTTTCTGAATTTTTGAATAAAATTTTTTGGAAACGAAGAATAGAAACCCACCCTAAAAGAAAGGTTGGAAAATAGAAGCCTAGAGACTTCTATTAGAGAAAATACGGTATGTTTGGTGAGTTTTGATGAGATACTACTGTTGCTGACTTTAAAAATTCATGTTTAGATCTACTCGAACAACAAAAAGATCGATCCACGTCGAAAACTGAAAGACGATCATGATGGGACTGTTTTCACTCTCAAGCAACAGGACGATTAGGGATTTCATTTATTAGAACTAGATCTATTTGAATTAAAATATCAGCTAGATTCCCCAAATATTTTTTGTTTTATTTTCGAGGCTCAAAAAAAACCAAATATAACAGACAACAAAAAAGTAACAATTAATTTTAAAGAAGTTAAAAAAAAAGAATTCAAGACATATCAAACAGATTCAGAATATCTTCCACAGATGCTTCTCCTTCCAATAGGTCCGTTTTCACTTCTCTCGTCGACGCCTTCTTCTTCTTTTTCACCACCACTGGAGCCACTGCGTTGCTGCTCTCACTGTTCTTCTTCTTTCTGGAATTTTCTGGAACCACAATTTCTGGAACTTCCACAACAACGACGTCTTCTTCCTTTTCTGGTTTCTCTTCTCGTTGCTCTTCTGGAGTCTCCACCATCTCTTCTTCTTCTGCCACGTGGCTTATTGTTTGCTCCTCTTTCAAATTCAATGTCTTCTTCACCTGCTTCACATTCGCCAAGTCGCTGGTCCGTGGCCTCGACGCTACATCGCATAAGCTCTTAGGCGATGAGCAATCGGACACGTGGCACGGGTACGGGCGGAGACTGCACGAGCCACGTGGAGAGGAGATGAGACGAATTCGTTGTTGAGACAGAGGAAGGCGGCGAGCATTTGAAGATACATTGATTCGTCAGGGTGTATCATTGTGCACTGCAAATATTGGTTTTTAAGATTTTTAACGATTTTTTCTTCGAGCTCATTTGTCTCGGCTCCTATAAGAGATATCAGCATTTTGTCTACTGATAAATTTTCATCACATTATCATCTATATTTTATCAGATGATAAAACTTTGACATCTATTATATAAATCGAGATAATTGGGCTAAACTTTTTTTGGCCTAGAAACCCCGGGATTTCTTGGCCATTTTCTGAAAATATTTGAATTTGAAAGAAACAGTATACAGTTAATGTTAATGTAATGTAATGCTAATGTCAGTTAATGGAATTATTTTCAGCGAATTTGAAAATTCGTTTTTTGTTATTTGAAATCCCTAACTATTCCCTCTCATAAATCCCTAACTATTCCCTCTCATAAAACGCCACCCTATGTTTTCCTTTTAAACTATCAAGTGATGGCCTAGAAATCGAGTTTTCTAGGCCACCAAAGTTGAGATCAATTATCTCAGTTCCTTTAAAATCTATCAAAAATCAGTCAACTGTTAAAATATGTATCATAACATCCCTATCATTTTCTCAGTTGACAAATTTTCGATATCTGTCAAACGAGCCGAGATAATGGAGCTCAACTTTGGTGACCTAGAAAACTCTGTAATGCTCACCTCACAAACGGCCTTCTGAACTGTCACAAACACCTCTGGCTTAATAAGTCCTGGTGCTGATTCAATGATACTGGAAAGTAGGTCAGCCACGTGGCTTCCGTAATCCAATTCGTGCATCGGACGTTTGAGAGATGTGAAAATGACATAAAAGTGCTTGTGGACAGTGGAGGTGACTGGTCCGTAGATCTTTGAAATGAATGCCAACGTCTTCATGAGCGGCACGTCGGGCGTTTCGAGTTCGGAGATTAGAGTGGAAACGATTCGGCTGATCTAGAAAATCGAAATTCCGAGAAAGCAAGAAAAAACAATTTTTTTCATTGAAAATATACAACTTTGGAGCTTTAAAAATCATTTTTTAGAAATCCAAAAAAGCGAGCAATGCGGTTTTCAGTGATAACTTTGGAACTATCTTTTGAAATTCCGAAAATTCAAGAAAGTTCGTTTTTTAGGAATGGAATTGGAATCGGAAGAATTTCCAAAAAATATATATACTAAATAGATTACTTTGGTTTAAAAGGCGAATGGGAAACCACTTGTTTCGATGAATTCCAGTTTTCAAATTTCTAAAATTGTGAAAAATCGAAATTTCGCTATAAAAATATGTGAAATTAAAATCTACAGTAACCTTCAGCATACAGTAATCTTTCAAATTCACCTTACTTAAAAATATCCATAGTTTTCGGATTCCAGAATTTCAAAACTTAAAAAAGATTTTCAAAATTACCATGGGCAACAACGAATACTTTGCATTGACACACAACGAGCGAAGACAATCAAAAGCGACGGTTCGAGTATTGGGATTTCGGATTCCTAATTCAACGATTCGAATGATATCCTTCCTATCAACAGTCACATCTGGCTTCGTAGCGTATCCAAGGGCAACGGCAAGGACTTCGAAGAGCAGGCAAGTCAGCGAATTCCGATGGGACGAGACACCGAGGGTTGTGAGTTGAAGAACGTCTGCAAGGAATTCATAATTTTCATTTGATAGGATCCGTGGCGGTGGCCGAAGGTCCCCCTACACTGTAGGGCCTATAGAAACCTAAACATGTTTTTATTTTCCTTTTTTCCTCGTTTTCAGTAAAATTTTCTTATCAAATAACAGAAAAATCGATGAAAATAAATCCGGAAAATAAAAATATTATTTAGGTCACTGTAGTTATGGGGCCATTGGTCGGTAATAAAAAATCCTTACCACTTGTGACATTTTTAATCTTCTTATCACTCAATAACACTTCCAAAGTATTCATCAGTAATTCCAAATTTCTACTAGAAACTCTCAATCCAAACAGCTCAGCAGCCAGACCACAAATCGTTGAATCCCCAGAAACTGCTCCAGCGTCCAGTGTCTTCAGAAGAATTTTGAAAACTGTCGGAGCATGAAGCTCTCCAGCTTGCGGATTTCGAACGAGCACTTCACGAACGAAAAGCGCTCCACACAGCTGAAAACCATCGGAGATTTGAGCGAATCGATTGGCGAGACGAGATTGAGTGGCACGGAGGGTTTGAGGAGATGCTTTGATCACCATTCGAGCTAGAAGACCGAATCCGAGTTCTTGTTCTTTTGGGGTTCGATTCGAGCCGACGAGACGCAGACATTTTTCGATGATCTGGAAAATTTCAGCTCTATTTTAGAGCTCTCCTGAGAAGCTCGAATTTTTCTAGATGAATCAAGCTTTTTTTGTTGGGGGTAAAATGCAAAAGAAACCAAAATTAAAAAGAAAAAAAAAACTAAAATTCGCAAAATTCTGAGAAAATTTCGTTTTTCATTCGATGTTTTGCAAAATTTTTAGACCTTTTTAGGATTTTCTAATATTTTCAAAGACTCTTTTTCGATATTTCTGATTTTTTGTCTTAAATTTGATGGAACATTGTTCGTGAAAAATACCGTAGTAGTTTTTTGGGAAAACAGTCACAAAATGCAGATAAAATGTATTTTTTGCAAAAAAAAACCTACGAAAACCTACAGTAATCTACAGATGTCTTCGTCCCGTCAAATTTCATACAAAAAACCGGGAAAATCGAAAAAGGATCTTTGGAAATAGCTGAAAAATCTAAAAAGGTCTAAAAATTCAATTTCAAAATAAAATTAATTTGCCGCTAAAAATGTAAAAATCCAGTTAAAAGAAACTGAAATTCGCAAAAATCCTCTTTTTTTCTGATTTGTTTTTTGGAATTTCAGCCAAAATTTGAAAAATAACGTGTTTTCCAATACCTACCTGTTGCTCATCCTCCGGCTTCCCAACCAACGTCTCCTGTACGATTTTTTGGATTTCTGCTGACATTCTTCTGAATTTTTTTCCTTTCCATTTTCAGAATTTTCAGGAAAAAAAACAATTTAAAAAGGTAGAATTCAATGAGACAGAGACCCAAAAAACATTCCAAAAATTAAAAAAAAAAGGAAAAACATTTATATCTTCGAACCAATAAAAAGGAGAGAGAAACATAGTATTCACACAAAAAATCAAGCTAAATTCTATAAAAAGCTCTTCTCAAAATCTATGCAGTGGCCTCCTTGCGTGCTTGTCTCTGCAAAAGTCGTCTCTCTCGTTCGAATTCCTTAATTCTCATGATATGATCGTCGTATTCACACTTGTCCCACGCACCGCGTTCTCCGTCACAAGCGTGTCCGGCGAATGGAGCGTTTTGGGTCTGAAAACTGAGATTTTAGAGTGATAAGGGTGGAAAATTGGAGATTTTCAGGTAAAAATTTATGAAAACTCAAGAATAATAGACCTTAGCAAAAATGAAATTTCGAGCTGGGCAAGCTCAGAAACATATTTACGAAATCAAAATTTACTATTTTTTGGGATTTTCAAGTAAAAGTCTATGAAAATCCGATAAAAATAAGTCAAAAAGGCCGAGTTTGAGCAGAAACGATATTTTCATGATTTTCAAAAACAAAATAAGCTTCTTGAGACCATTTCCCCACCTGACACTTCATGAGCGAAATCAAATGGTGAGCACAATAGTCGCGTTGAGCTGGCTTCAGCTTCCACTGTTCCATCTCTTCCCAAGTGGTCTTCATTTCGCGAACCTGGAAAATGAAAAAAATCTATTTAGCTTTAAAAACTGCTTTTCTGACTTTTCTCGGTCGCTCAAATCCGTACTGTGGATCGAAGGTTGGTGGACGGTCGACGCGTGGCGCGGTTTCTGGATTGGCGGCGCCTTCCAAAGAGACGGAAAGTTTAGTTCCCATGCTGGCTGAAAGAAGAAATTTCATTATGAAGAGGTCGCAAAGAGAAAAATTGGAGAAATAATGAGAAAATCGGTTGTTAAAGCATTTAAACTTTTTTTTCAATTTAAGATTTTTAATAGACTTTTTTATAATTGAGCTGCTTTTCAACGGATTCTGGCGATTTATAATTGGATTCTAATCCTGGAAAGCCACAAAAATGGCTATTTTTAAGGTATTTAGTTGAATTTGGCAAGAAAATACGTTTTTCAAAATTTTAGATTTTCTGTCTGCTGCGATTTTTTATGACTTTTCGGCTTAAACAAGTTTTTTAGCAATTAGCAATTTTCCAGTGAAATTTTGCAGAAAAATCATTTTAAAACTACTAAAATCATTTAAAAAAGGGAAAATTGAAAAAAAAAATATAATTGCCCGAAAAATTCCGTCTTGCTAAACAAGGCGCACTAGCGGGATACCCGGAGTGTCGTTGTGAGAAAATCGAGTGCGTGCAAAACGGAAAAAGTTTACACAACAGCGAGAGAAAGACGGGTTCAATGAACAATCTTTTGACAACATACACACAAATTCTTATCTATTTGTTTCATTTTTCTGTTTTTCGTTGATGTTTTCTGTCAAAAACAGCCCAAAACTTCAATTTTTCGTTTAAAAATGTTTAATGAAGAATAAAAATTTTTCAGTCATGGCATCTCTTCGCTCGCTCGCCAAACTCACGAACTCAGTTGCGATTTCTACTAGAGTTAAATTTTTTTGAATTTCCCGCCAAGTTTAAGAAATTTTCAGACAATGGCTTCGCACCCATTAGCCGGCCTTCTCGGAAAATTGAACCACGTGGCAATTGCCACTCCGGATTTGAAGAAATCCTCGGATTTCTACAAGAATCTTGGTGCCAAAGTTTCCGAAGCTGTGGTAAGAAATTCGGACCCCTAAAAAATTTTGATTTTTCAAAAAAAAAAACTGGATCAACAAAATCATTATTTCCGATCAATCAACAAATCTGTGATCGGAAGGAAGCTTAAACATTGTTTTTATTGTTTTTGATTCTTTAATTTTTGACACCTATGATGTCATTTTTATAGAGAAATTCTAAGATTTTCAGATAATTTTTAATGAAAATTTCAAAATATCAAATTTTCAGACTTTCCCGATTTTTTGAATTTTGAATTCCCGCCAGAACTGAAAGTTTTGGACCACATCTAAAAAAATTAGAAAATTTTTTCAGTCATTTTTAATTTTCAGAAAATTTCATTTTCCCTATATTTTAAAATTTTTTAAAACTTTTTTCCATCCGAAATACCAAAAAATTTCAAATTTAGGCCATTTGATAGGATTAATGTGACCTCACTTCTACCTTTTTCGTTGAAAAGAGACCCAATAAACAAAAAAAGTCACGGTTTTGTTTGACTGACGAATTCAGTTTGAAAGAACCGGTTTTTTTTTGGAAAATCAGAAATTAAAGAGAAAATTGGTTTAAAAGGTCATGGTCTGAAAATTAAAAAAAAATGTCTGAAAATTTTGTTGAAAATGACCGAAAATGTATGAAAATAGTTGAAAAATGCCTGAAAATTGATTTAGAAAATCAAAAGTGGCTCAAAACTAAGAAAAAAATCATCGAAAATTTTCTGAAATATTGATTTTGTCTGAAATTTTTTTAAAGATTTTCAATTTTAAACGTCTGAAAAACAAATTATTCTAGAATCTGAAGTCCGTTAACTTATAAAACATAGAAATCGCAGATACACAAACATCTGAAAATGTTCGAAAATCTGAAAAATCCAAAAATTGTGATTTTCGAATTTGAGAGGTTTTTGGATCTCAATTTCTCGTAAGAATTTCTATAAATCTTTGAATTTTTTTTGAAAAATTAAAAATTTCAAAAAAAAAATTCCAATCCAAAAATCCCTTAAATTTTGCATTTCAAAAAAACCAGGAAGTCTCAAAATCTGTAAATACAGAAGAAGTTTCAAAAACTTCCAAATATTCCAGATTCTCAAAACCATCAAAGCACTCTAATATCCTGAACTTTCAAGAAAAAAGTTTCGAAACCACCCAAAAACCCAAATTAGTTTTCAGCCCCAAAAAGAGCACGGCGTCTACACTGTGTTCGTCGAACTACCAAACTCTAAAATCGAATTGTTGCATCCATTCGGCGAGAAATCTCCGATTCAAGCATTTCTGAACAAGAATAAAGACGGTGGAATGCATCACATTTGCATTGAAGTTCGTGATATAAATGAGGCTGTTTCTGCTGTCAAAGACAAAGGAATTCGTACTTTGGGAGAGAAACCAAAGATTGGAGCTCACGGAAAACCAGTCATGTTCTTGCATCCAAAGGATTGTGGAGGTGTTCTCTTCGAATTGGAACAGGAGTAAATTTATTGTCATTTTTGTTCTTGGTGGACTAGAAAATCCCCCTATTTAGGCCATCATCTGATTTTGAAAAATTTTATTTTTCATGCAATTTTGATTTCAAAAAAATGTTTTTAATTTTTCAGGTTTTTCTAGGCCAACCGTTTCCATTTCCTCTCCCATTTTACCATTTTTCGCCCAGTTTCTGAACTCTCCTTTATATTTTTTGTATTCTTTGTGCCATAATAATTGCCTATTTTTTAAATAAATTTATGTAGAAAATTCATAACAAACTGAAAAATGGAAAAATTCAAACTACAAAATTATTGTTTAACGGAGCGCGCTTGCTCGCCTCAGATTTTGTCTTTTTTTTGAATTCTCTGTCTGAATTACATATTTCCAGTGCGAAAATAGCTAATTTGGTAATTTTCGACTTATGAAAAATCGAACATTTTCAATTTTCAAGGGATTTTTCGAGATTTCAGATTTAAAAAACCCATTTTCTAACAAAAAATCGAAAATTTCTTGGAAGAATACTTAAATTTCCATCAATTTTTTCTGAAATTCACACAAAAAACAATTTGAATCCCAAAAAATTCAAAAACATGTTCTAGCAACCGCGCTCCGCTGAACAAAAAACCTAGATCATCTAATTTTCAGATGTGTTTGTGGATTTCACCATTTGTGGATTGCAGGCTTGAAACCTAAAAAAGGAAAATAATTTAAAAAATGAAATAGGTTTTTTTTCTAAAAATCCGATTATTTCTGAAAAACCAAAGTTTTTCTGTCTGTCTGCACGTCCGGATGTCCTCCGATTCTTCTCATTGTTCCAAAATCACGTTCTTCCCCTTTTTCTTCACACTTTCAAAGCAACAAAACCAAAAAAGCGAGTAAGTGTTTGCGAAAAAGCTCTGTAAACACGCCGAAAAAGACGAAGAAGATGGGATGAATTCGTCGATTCGAAAATCACCATTCGCTTTCTCTGCGTCTCTTCTCTCTCTCAACTTTTCCAATTAGATCGGTGCCGTCCTCCTCGTGTGTATAGGCCCCGCCCACTTTTCCCTCTACAATTTGAAAACAAGTCTGCTGACTCACTTCTCGAGGACATTTTTGCCGATTTGTTGTGTTCGCCTGTTGATTCCTGAATTCTGGATTCTTATTCTGAATAATACAGATTTTTGAATCCTTGGCATCGTTTTATAAAGCTTTTGGATCTCCCCGAAAAGCTTAAAATGCTGAATAATTTGGGAACTCGCCTATTCAAGTCAGTCACTGATAAGGCTGGCGATCTTGGTGATAAATTTGAGGAGGAATTCTCCAGATTATCATTTAATATTACCAGTTAGTCCTCCTCTTTTCCATACCGTATTCCAATTTATGTTTCCAGCTGAAGTCGATTCCATAGTAACCGAAGCGATTTCTCTCTCCTCTTATATCAAAGTTGCTCTTGTGATCCTCTCAATTCTTCTCGTCCTTCTCATCATTCGATACTCCGCATATGGAATTCGATGTTTAATCTTCAAAGCACGCGACTGGATTCATTCGATGGATGAGAAGCCACCGCCTCAGGTAGGTTCTTACCATGTTAAATTTTTGCAAATTTAATTTAGATCCTTCTCTAGGTGATACTCCTCATGCCTACAGAAGATGGAAAGTACAGAAAGAGCTCGAAGATGTATAGTGATGAACAGACAAGGCAAATACTGGATAAACTCAGAGACGATTCGATTGAGCTGTTCAACGAGCCGAAGAGAACCAATAGCGTGGTGAGCGTTACTTAACAACTACAAAAATACAATTTCCCGATTTAGGAATCAAGAAGAACAAGACCACCGAGATTATCAGAAAGAAAGTTCAAAAATTGGAAGGTTCCTGAAGAATCTGTATAATAACTTTCGTATTGATGTAAGAAAGAAACATTGGAACTGGGAGCTAGATTTATTGATACAATTATTGTATACAATTTGATCTAAATAATTTTTTAAATACCCATATATATGTATATAATTGGATTTAAAAATCCTAAATTTGTAACTTCTAGAAGTTATTACAATAGAACATGCTTAAGATGAATAAAACGGTTGGGAAATACAAGTTGCATATATATTCTTACAAGAAGAAGAGCTTGTCGCGGAGCTGCTCATCGGAGTCTCCATGAAGCGACTGAGCAGTGAGGAAAGCGAGCTTGTGTGCATATTGACATGGAGCTGGGACGCGAACTGTTCCTTGCCAATTGTAATACAGATGACACAATTTGAAGGCGAGCTAGAAAATTGAGCTACTTGGCTATTATCGGAATTTTATACCTGTTGGTGCTTGTCTGGGCCAAGTCCTGTGTCGTCGTAAATGATGTTGTAGGAAACTGGAGTGACAGTTCCTTGGTTAACAAACTGTGGGACCAAGTAGAAGTCCATTCTTTCTGGACGAGTCACGGTAGTGTCGACAACCGTTCCTGGATCTGGGTTGACGGCTTGATTTCCAGAGGCACCTTGTCTGAAAAAACAGATATGAATAGTTACTTCAAAAATGCTGAACTCACTTGAGGATTCTCATGTTCACACGCTTGGTGACAATGATGAATGCCAACTTGATTGGCTTATGCTCCTTGTTGTTCATTTGAGCAGCTCGAAGTGTAACCTGGTCACAAGCCTCACGAACAAGTTTCACCTCAGTGTTCTTGATGTATGGAATTTGACCATCTCCAGCACCATCTCTGTAGAGAACCAATTTGGATGGAAGTGTATTGTTGTTTCCGTCGTAGTACTTCTTCAGAGCCTCTGAAATCGTTTTGCTTAGAAGAGTCATCAAAATGGTATCTTACTTCGAACGAAATGGGTGAGATTGTTACCCAGTTGTGTTGGATTCTCGTGAGGTCTGGTTTGAGAGTAGAACTTTGTGAATTCTGAAGATGTCGTTGAGACACAAGCACCGACTGTCTTTCCTTTCAATGTGGAATCATGATAGAGATCATATCCAACAATCATAGTGTCTTGCATCTGAATCAGAAGACTTTGAGAAAACTAGTTATTTCAACTGACCGGAATGTTGACTCTCCAAAGAGCTCCACCAGTTTTGCACACCATTTGCAAGACGATTTTCAGAACAATGGAACCAAAGTTTTTGTTCTCTCCTCCATCCGACGACTTGCCAGCAAGAGTACGAAGATTGATACACTGATTGGGGATCGGGCACTCAACACAGAGATACTTCTTGAGACTGTCGTATCTAGTTTTGTTGTCATCCGCCAACATGACGACGAGCATGTGAACTTGCGCACCAGCAACTTGCTTGATAGCCTTTTTAACGCCTTCCAAGTAGTCATTGGGAGATACTCCGTTGAGTGGGACACACAAAGGATCTCCAATTTGCACTCGAAGAGTATTTCCAAGTCTGCCTGCTTCGCCAATGAACCTTTGACAGAGAATTCCTGAGCTTCCGGTATTTGGTCCAACCACAATCCAATTTGTCATGTCAGAACCACGGTAGATACCACTATCCTTGACACCACGAGCCCACTCGGCGTTTCTTCCTTCGTACTTTTTGGTACCTTCCACATGCAACGGCTCTGGTTTGAGAACTCTGGCGCTCACATTTGCAAGATCATCAGCAAGACGAATACCCCAATAGACGAGGCAATCTCGCACCCTAACGTTGTTGTGGAATTCTTTCACAAGTTTTCTCGTCTCATCCAAACGCTGTTGTGGAGACAAACGAGTATGCGAAGCGATCTCTTTCATCATTCGGAAATCCTTTCTCATCTCGTCAGTCAAGCCAGTTGGGTAGCAGAGCTCTGGCACGATGTAGTTGACCTGTGGTGGCTCTCCCGGCTGCTTTGGCTTTCCTTCGCAGATCTAAAAGAAAAAAAACAACTAAAAAAACACGATATATAACTAACGATGATTGGCTGATTATCAATGCGGATGTCCTTGTTGTACTGCTGTTTGAAGTAATCCTTGAGAGTGATTGATTGCCCGTCTTTTTGGAATTCACTCAAAGGAGTGATGGACGAATCCAGTCTCGTGAAGCGATGGAGCTTGTTGTTGTACAAGGTGATGATAGTGGTACCACCATACATCTCATTCATTTTCTCGAGCACACGCTGACTGTTGTTGTTGCTGGCTTGCATTTCCCTCTGGAGCAAATCGTACATCGAGTCTCTGCGGACCATTTTGAAACGGTTCTCAACGCAGAGCATCAACTGATTCTCGTACATGCGAATGGCAGTCTCGAACCCTGGCAGAATGCTCATGTTGTACTCGCGCACATTTCTAGCATCTTTTGAGTTGAAGTAGTGACGTCCAAGTTGGGTCAACCCCATCTCATCGAAACAACGACGGACAATGGTATTGAAGATGTTGATGGTCTGGGCATTGTCTAGCAAAAAACGATTGGTTTGCTTAAAAATTACGCGGATAAGTTCTCCAGTGTTCGGATGTGGAACCTCGATTTCTTGCTGAAATAAATTTCGGTTGCCTTTATAATTAACGATCTAAAACTAACGTTTTGTTGCCACTCTTGGGTCAGATAAAGAATCATCCCGTCGAAAACATGATAGTTTCCAATCTCATCAACAACATTTGGATGAAGAAGCATTTTCTCTCGAGTGTGTTTGTGATCAACAGTTGGGTCGAACTCAATGTGGAATTGGTAGATGCTGTAGTCGGCCTTCTCCATTTCGATCGGAATGAAGTTGGCGAAGCATTTCTGCGGACGCCCGGAATGCCCGATTTTCGGTTCTCCTGGTTGACGAACGAAGAGATCCGGTTGAATTGTACCAAAGTATTCCTGAGTTCTTCCGCCACTGTTGTTGGATCCTGATCCACGGCCTCTTCCGCGGCCACTTCCAGATGCCATTTTACCTAGAAAATTTTTTTCAGCTGAACAAATTTTTGTGGGTCTGTAAACTGCGTATAGAAAGAAGGGGGAAAGCTTGCTTGAGCGGGAATGTCAAGCTCTTCAGCCTCAAGCATACTAGTTGGTTGACCTCCAATATTGAAAATTTCCAATTTTCAGTTAAACTTCGTGACAGTTCTTTTCTTTTCCTTTGGCTTGGGATACTGGTTCCGTCTACAGTTCCGTCAGGCAAATCGTACAACTCGTGCCGCCGTGAGCACTGGAATAGGCCTGGCTTTCACCTATTTTTGCTATGGAAAGTATGATTTTCTTTCAAACTTTTTGGGGTTAATTCCTTTTTTCCTTTTTTTTCAGTGCCATCATCCATCTATTCATCAATGGATTCGGGAGCTATATCCTGATGCTTACAGTAACCCCAAGACACGTTCATAAGTAGGTTAATATGCAATTGCGCTCTAGTGACAAACTTTCCATTCTCTAAAGCAGTATTTGCCTTTGCCATGGGATATCTTCTTTTGATACACCCCTATCGTTGGATG